ATAGGTCTTTTTACGGAAAAAAAAAACTGTACGTTTGAAAGCGATCGCGAAAAATCGAAAGATTGAGGCTCATTACATATCAAACGATTCAAGCGCAAATACATAATGAGCTCAAAATTAAAAACTATCTACGCTGACACTTATCAACTACAAAAAAATTGACCGTTGGTCACAGTTAAAGATGAAAACAATCTCTCCCTTTCTAATTTATGTGAAAATGATCTTTGACTTTGATATTTAATCCACAGAGGCAAATCTGAGCATCGCATCACTAGCGAAACAAAAACAAAAGATAAACGACTACCGGTCTATCACATACTAAGTATTACAATTTCACAAAAACGATCCACTAGTTTTTCAAGTTTCAAGGAAGCTGTAGAAGGAAAAAAATCTATCGATGACTTCGAAATAGCAACAAAAATAGCCAACAGACATGGCCATTTCAATAACAATACACGGCAGACGATTTTACTGGATCCATAGCTGATTTGTATTCCGCTGTGAAAGGTTACATCTAAAATCCACTTTCAAAACCAGGTGTTAATTACGTTTTTTCGCGTGATTTCCATTTCAGTAAAAAAGAGCCTAAGTTGCCTAATTTTCAGCAAATTAATGAACTGAAATTTCAAATTTAGCCAGAAAAAAAGCAACAAAACTACCTTTGGTTAAAAGTCAGCAGTGATAGTCCCGTCAGAATTTCAAACTTGGTGACAATTGTTTTATTCAACTTATTTTAAAAATTCCAAAAATCATGGGAACTTCACACTTAGAAAAAAAACAAAAAAGATTTGACCAATCATATTAAGTGGCAATACTTGCAACCCCTGACAGCACTCCTCAAAAGTCGAAAATTTCAATTGTGAAATTTCGTAATTTAGGCTTTTAGAATACTATAAGAAAAACATCAGATCTCGATTTTAAGCCTTTGTCAGTTATATCAGGAGGTAAGATTTTACAACGCCTTTGAGTACCCTGGCATTAACTCAAGGGTAATCTTTCAAATTTTGTGCAGTTTTTTCTCTAAATTAAATGGAATTAAATGGAACTAAATCATTAAAAACTAGCGTATCTCGTAAATTAGAAGGATTTGGATATTCATATTTGGAGGCCAAATTCACAGCCCCTGGGAGAAACCTAACAGCACCCCGTCATAGGTTGCTAGTTTGAAATTTGTCATATATACGAAAAATATAGGAACATACGAAAAATGTAGTACCAAATCATTGGCGCTCCTACGGATTCTAAAACGTCAACTTTAGTTAACATTTTAACCGTTGCAAAATATTGGCATTTTAACAGATGAACAAAGGGAATTCTTTGAAGTGTGGCAAGTTTGGCAGCTCATTTTAGGGTAGTGTAAAGATGGGCTCATCCGTCTTTTATATCTATCCGTTTATCTATAAATTATTTGAGCGCGTTTGACTTGACACATTGACAAAAAAGCTATTTAAATTTTTATGATTCGCGCTTTTTTGATAACATTAAGCCAACCTGAGAAAACTGGATCAACAGGTAAATTTTTTATTTCGCTGGAAATCTAAAAATTAAATTCCATTTTCGAAACTAGAAATCGTTCACGAATTTTTGCGCCATTTGCACGTTTGTATTTGGAGAGTGCTATTTACGTCACTTTTAGCAGATGCATTTCAATTGAACTCAAAAAATGCATATATAACTAAGTGCATCAATATTTTGAACTGAAAAAAAAACATACTGAAAAAAAAATAAGCAAAACCTATAAAAGAGTCTTCATTATGTTCATTACTCTTAATATAATGAAGCACGCATTTAAATATACAATAGATTATTTTTGACACTTTTAAAAAATAATTTAACCATTGTGAGAAAACTGGATCAAGGTTTAGATTTTTCGACCCGCTGGGAAATCTGAAAATAAAGTCTACTATCGAAACTAGAAGTCGCTGACGTTTTTCAGCTCGATTTCCATTTCATAATTGGAGAGCACAATTTATTTAACTGTTTGCAGATGATATTGAATTGAACTCAAAATGTGCATGTAAATCTTAACACAAATCATGAATGTAAAAAAAATTACAGTTAAAAATTTTGAAAAATGATGCGCAAAACCTGTAAGCCACGTATATCCGACAAAATATTAATACTCGATGATTGCAATACCCTTCCGAGCCAGAATTTTAAAATCAATGTAAAACACATTTAAAAATATGAACAGTCAAAAACGACAGCATAATGATACGAAATTTTGAAATCTAATTTTTTTAAATGAAACTAATACATCTTCCACAACAAATCCTAGTCAAACGAAACAAAAATTCAAACATTGAACTTTCAAAAGAGGATAGTAAAAAATACCATTTTTTTCATTACTTTCAAATTTGTTATCGCATAACTTTGTGCTTCAATCAAAATTTCAAGAACAAGAGGCTTTTTGAATACAAAAATATAGTAATTTAGTTGAAACCACGTTATCCAAAAAATACGTTATTTATGCATTGTTTCTAGAGTAAAATTTGATCCCACCTGAAATTAATTTTTAAGCGAGTATAACTGAGCCGTTACACTTTTAAGAATAAAGGCGAAGCGGAGCACAAATAGCATTGCAAGCTAGCAGACAAAATTTAAACGAAACTGTAACCACAAAATACATTCAACCTATAAAAGTTTTCAATAAAGAATTTTATACAGAGAAGCTGAGCTTCGCAATTACTAGCGAGAACACGACAAAAAGCCGCTTGATAAAATGCAATAGGAAAAAGTAGAAATAAGCCTCGAATCAGTTCAAATGGCTACGTCTCGGATTAAATAAAGCATAGAACAGATGCTATGAAACTTCTAATGCTACAGATGTGATTATAGCAAAAAACCACAATATAAGTGAACACTAGTAATGAACACTTTCATTTGCGAGCTAGATTAGAAAAAAAAAGGTTCGTGACCCAACCCTCGTAAGACAGGCAAAAAACAATTCGCCTTAGAAACTGTGGAACATAAATTGTTTCAGGCAATAAAACACAAGCAGAACCCATTTAAACAACAAAAAATCATTAAAAAATTATTAAAAATTGAAGCTGGTACAAAAACTATAGAGCAATTTTTAATTAAAACAGAAAAAAAATTGATTGGAAAATTATAAACACACGAGCTTTGAAAAAACAGCTTGACTAGCTTACCAGATATAAATTGCATTTCAAAAATCAGCAGACGAAAGTAGGACGGAAACCACAAATCCGAAAAATCAATATTTTTTCAACAATTACTAGCAGGCCCACCAACTAAAATTGCTCATCAAAAAATGACACCAATTAACCTAAACAAAAAAAAGATTGGATGAATGGTCAACCGTGGATGTATGAATGGATGGCTGGATGTATGTATGAAAAGCTGGATCGAAGGATGAGTGATTGAGTGTATGGATGGCTTGATGAATGGCTAGACTGATAGGCGGATGAATGAATGGTTGGTTATCTGATTGGATGGATTTCTAGATCAACAGATTGCTGGTTAGATGGCCGGATTGATAGCCGGTTGGATGAAATGATGAATGGTAGGATAAACGAATGGTTCGATGAATGGCTGGTTCGTTAAATGGACTAGAAGCCTGAATGCTTAATTTGTTGGTCGGATAAATTGATGAAATGGCACAATAGATAGCTGGATGTATGGTTGCGTGGATGCACAAATGGATGGCGGCGTGGCTGGTTGAATGGATTGTTGATTGAGGGATGACTCAAATAAATGGAGGATTCATTACTGGTTGGAAAGAATTTTACACAGGCGAAGCTGCGCTTCGCAAACACTAGAGAGAACACGAAAAAAGCAGCTCCTAGAGTTCTAAAAAATTCAAAAAGAAAAAGTAAAAATTAAGTCTCGAATTAGTAAAAATTCGGCGACATCTCGGACTCGAAATTATGAACTACTGCAACCTAAAAGTCTCACGCACTAACCACATTGCCACGGTCGCTTAGTCCATGACAAACACTAGCCACAGATAAAGCCGAGAACAGATGCTTTGAAATTTCCAATGCTATAGATCGTGATTAAGGCAAAACAGCAAACAAGTGAACAGTTTTATTTGCGATTTAGGTCAGAAAAAAAATTTGTACTAAAACATAATTTGCTCCCTAGCGTAAAAAAAATAATCAAACGTCAAACCGCGAAAATCAAATTTCAACTTGAAAACAATTTATAGACTTTTCCTGAAAAAGAAACAAACAAAGACAGCACGACCTACATATCAGTTTTCATTGCGTTCAATGAAAGTTAAAAGCATAGCCAACAGAGAGTTGGAAAAAAGTCAATTAACGCAATTAAACAAATAAAATGCCGACTTGTTTTTCGAAAAAAACTCAAATAAAACACCGAATAGTTTTTCGAAAAAATCTCAAAACTGAATCAAAAGGTAAATTAATTATTTCGATCGGGAAAGGAATTGAACATAACTTAAAAAGAAAGAAAAAGTCAAACCGCTGAAATTTGAATTCGAGCATCATCAAACTCATCAGGACCTAGATAAAAGTTTAAACTACGTTCATCGACTCTTAAAAATTATCACGATCGATATCCTATCTAAGTGATAATCACTTTGTTGTTACACTTAAAAAGAAAGTTTTTGAATGAATTTTCATTCTTAGAAGGATCTCGAAATTACATACTAAGGGGTTTCTTGAATAGTAGCAAAACGGGTGCGATTGGTAAGCAGATACAATGATAACTTCCAAAAGTTGATATTAACAGGACAGTTGTCGAGACCTCATTAGACAAAATTACGAGTTACTAGAGGAGAGAAACCGAGAGGTGGACTCCATGGAAAAATACATTAAAGATCTGCACGAGGACAATATGAAGCTCAAATCGTCTCTTGTAGAGACGCAGAGAATGGTGAAGGAGATGGTCAGTGAACTCAACGCCATCGACCCTTACCTTAAATGGGATCCATTTAAATCCCGAAGAAAGAGTTTCTGAGAAGATTATAATGAACAATCAGAATACGCCGATGAAAACAAGTGAATTGAACTCACGTGAATTTGCTTTGACTCTTTAGAAGATAGAAGGCAAGAACTTCCTCAGCAGGCCAAACGCCTAAAAAACAATCAAATCCTAGAATGTATTATTTGGCATTTACTTGCGACAAGGCAGTTAATTCACTTTTGATTTTATATTTGAAAAGATTTTTTTGAGTAGGGTAAGTAGACTTTTTGAGCCCTAAATCAAAGATGCTTTATGTCAAATTTTTTATAATTCGAAAATGCTTGCCAGAAAGACACAACCGGGGCTAGCTCCTGGATGATACAAATAAGAAATATTTGATATTTGATCACAGTTGATTCTAGAATCTATCTAACAAGTTTGATAGCAAGGTCGTCTTTAGATTCGAGTAGAAAATTCTCTTCTTTTCGGTCAAATCCTTATCAAATAATCTAGAATAGCCGTACTATATCATTCTCGCAGAACCCAAAAACAGAGAGCAAACATTCGCTACTTTTTTAATTCAATTATCCAGTTATCACGCCATGAGATATCTATCCATTGATAATTGGCTCTTTCACCGTACCAACAATGCCCGCGATTTTTTACCAAACGAAATTTACCTTAACGCTGCCCAATTCTGTTGAAATTTGTATGTGTTCGGAATGAGGTAATTAGAATTTCGTTTGGTAAAAAACCGCGGGCATTGTTCGGCGGAGTTCTTTCTGAACGGCGGAGTTCTTTCTGAACGTTGTAAAATCAATGGTTTACACGCCAAATTTTGGTCGGTTGTGATGGGTTAAAAGTAAACGGTAAAATAGTTTGCACTAACAGACATTTCCAGTGTTGTTGAACTTGAGCAACTCTTCGAACATGATCGGACCTGTCAGATGCCTCACCATTACCGACACTTCCCTTTCCACATTAGTTCCCTTATCACCATTAGCATTTATAGACAACCAATGTCTCTTCCAGCAACACTCGCTGTTGTCTTCCTCTACTACTTCTGATTTTACCAGCTGGAATGACTCAAACACGACAGTACTTGACTGCTCTGCATATCCACTGCTGTCTGCCGAAAGATGTTTACGATCCACCTGTCTATCTCTGAATATCTAAATTAATCAAACAAATATTATAACAACAAGATCAGCAACCCTGAAATAGTAACGAGAAATAAATACAAAAACATTGAAAAATTTCATATTTTGGGAGGTCAGTCGAAAATTAATCCAAAAACCGAAAAAAAAACAGATCATTCTTTCTCGACACTTTTTTTTCAAATATTGAAATTTTATACCTTTTGAAATTCTTGAATGTTAAACCTAAATTTGGAAACCAAATTGTCTTTATTATGAACATTTGACCCTCCAACAAGGCTTCTTTGGGGTACTCAAAATTGGCTGGAAAATGAACGGACCTAAGGCATAGTTATTTTCAAACACCTTCAGCGACGAGGTTGGAACAAAAATTGAAAATCTTAATAAAATAATTAGCATGCAACGCACCTCCGGAGCTTCAAACAGATTAATATACGTGAAAACTGCCTTTATGAAAATACATTTAAAAACGAGAGGTATGCAACTGTAACAATAGACGGTGACATCCAACAACGCGTTTGATTTCAAAAATTGAACTATAAAAAAACTTCCGCCTAGAGGTTCTTTTTAAACTATAATGGTCAAATCTCTATAACTCATGGGTTTCAGATCTTCGTATTTTGACATCGACAAAATCTAAAATGGATGACAGCATACAACTGCACTTTCTATATTTAGCGATTTCACAAGCAAAATCACGGAATTCATTAATGGAATCTTCTTTAATTTAGTTCTTTCTTTGCATTAGCTCATACATATCATTTGCTGCCATCAATAGATAAATCAAGCGTAACTAACTTCAGATTTTTTCTTTGTAGATGAAAAGTTTTGAACGGAGAGGTGAAGCTGAGTGTCGCATCAATTGCGATAAATAACAAGAAAGCCGCTAAGTCGGAAAAAAAATCGAAAAAAAACTCGATTTATCAAATTATTAAGTCACACTCCAGCTCAAAAGACCAACAGGTCACTAAGCCGATTTAATCTAGGCCAAACCTACCAAACCTGAAAACAAACACACACACAAACTTTTTTCGCTTGTCCAAATATGCAATTTGAGGCTTCAACCGATTTTTTATTGACCAAAACGTATTGAACTAAACAAAAGCTAACATTGTAATAAACTTTGCAAAATTATGCAGGAAAATGAGCACGTTATGTTAAACAAAAAACTGGACTGCACGTTGAAACTATGCTCGAAAGCTCGAGGGTAGAATATTCTATAACTCCCGCGTCGAACTTAATATAGAGGCGAGCTGCAATTACAACAAAAATAAACTGGAAAATGAGCTTTAGAAAACATGGCAAAAAACAGGATAAAAAACTCGAGCCTCCGGCCAAAGAACTATTTGCATTAACTACTGAGCATGGCATTATGGTATTACTACTCACTTTAATCTTTGATACTTATACTTCATTCTTCGATATCAGGCAGCAAAAAAGGACACTTAAATTCATCGGATAAGCCAGATATGCTGTTTAATTAAAAAATAAACGTCGCACAAAAATCTGGCGACGTTTTGCACAAAAAGTAATGCATGAATGACTATAAAAAAATCCAGGAAACACTTTTTTTACACAGAGATGAAGCTGCACTTCGCAAACACTAGCGAGAACACAACAAAAAATCAGCTCTATAAAGAGCAAAATAAAATGGAAATAAGCCTCGAACTAGTAAACATTCGGCTACGTCTCGGATTTGATCTGCGATAGAGAGTATGAGTCTCACGCACTAACCACGGACACTTAATAAGCCTAGCCATAAGTAAAGCAGAGAACAGATGCTATGCAAATTTTAATGCTACAGTGAAATTTCGAAATATGTGAACACTTTTATTTGCAAGTTGGGTTAGAAAAAAAGAAGGTTCGTAATAACACTACGCTAACCGCTAAAATTAAAAAAAAATACGAAATCAAGGCTAGTAGAATTGCAGCAGTAAATGAAAACAACAATCGAGTACAAAGATAACTGTATACAGCAAAAAAAAATGTGGCTACTAAGCCGACAAAAGATATGCACAAGATACAGCAAAAAATGTGGCTATTAAGCCGTCAAAACATAAGCAGACAAATAAGACCCGACAAATAAGAGCTAAATCATAACACTAAAAACAAGTATAATGTATTTAAAAAAATTAAGAAACAACAATTCTACAATAAAAAAGACAAATAAGCCGATTTTTGACAATAAGCCGATTTTTGACAAGTAAGACAATTTTTGAGAGGGAAAATTCCCCGTTTGAAAAAAAACAGCTCCTGGTCAGATTTGAACCCAAGACTTTTGCCACCCCATGCGTAATCGTTACCTCCAGACCAAGTGCGCGGGAGACGCAAATAAATATGAACTTATTATGAATTAGTTTAAATTCACCATTTCTAATTTTGGCGATTCTGTGAACAAAGTTCTTGACGAGAAAAAAATCTAGTACCCGATTGCAATATCCTTGCTTGTCTCAAAAGTAACTATCGCAATGTTAAATATCATTAAATAATGTCCATTTTGAAAACTTCAACAAAATGAGCAAAAATATTAGGATGGCGGCCACATTTGCAACAGCTAGGAGTCATATCTACAAAAATGAAATGCGTTGAGCAGTCATATTTGTAGTCAGTACATTAACTTCCTGGTAGTACTCTGAAAGCATTCCACCATATTGTTGAGAAATTCAAACTTGCAAACCTTTTTAGGTTAAGTTTTATGAAAACTAAGACGATTTGAGCAGTCAAACTTGGAGGATAGAGCTTCAACTTCTGAAATTACCTTGAGATCACCCCCATAAGAGGGTTGAAAAAAAGAATTGGTTCAAAATTTTTCAAATTAAGTTTTTTTTCAAAAATTTTAGAAAAAGTATTGAAAAAACATCGTGTTTGGTAAACTAAAATTATTTCAGCAGTCATATTCGGAGGAATGACTTACAATCTCAATGACTTCCCTGGCAGCAACCAGCTGTAGGGTTTTGAAACTCAGATTAAGTAAAAAAAATTATATTTCAGTTTTGAAAACTTTTGGACAAATCGTAAAAAAAAAACGTCATATCTCAAAAACTAAAGGCATTGGAGCAGTCACATTTGGAGGCAAACATTGCAGACCCTGCCCCCAGCTAAAGGGTTGCAATTTCGAATTTTATGAAATTAAGTAAAACTAAATTTTCTGAAAAGTTTTGAGAAAATTTTATAAAAAACGTCGCATCTCGGAAAATTAAAGCATTTGAGCAACCGTTCTTGATGGCAAGAGTCAAAAGCTGAAAGTACCCTGAGAGAGATTCACTATAGAGATGGGAACTTTTGTGAAATTTTATATCTAAATTCTTTAAAAAATTTTAAACTGACATGTGTCCCATCTCAGATACTAGTATTTGAGCAGTCGCATTTGGACGCAAGTTTTGCAAACCCTGAAAAAACCCTCAAGAGTACCCAATTACAGATAACTGTATACAGTACAAAGATAACTGTATACAGCAAAAAAAAATGTGGCTACTAAGCCGACAAAAGATATGCACAAGATACAGCAAAAAATGTGGCTATTAAGCCGTCAAAACATAAGCAGACAAATAAGACCCGACAAATAAGAGCTAAATCATAACACTAAAAACAAGTATAATGTATTTTAAAAAATTAAGAAACAACAATTCTACAATAAAAAAGACAAATAAGCCGATTTTTGATAATAAGCCGATTTTTGACAAGTAAGACAATTTTTGAGAGGGAAAATTCCCCGTTTGAAAAAAAACAGCTCCTGGTCAGATTTGAACCCAAGACTTTTGCCACCCCATGCGTAATCGTTACCTCCAGACCAAGTGCGCGGGAGACGCAAATAAATATGAACTTATTATGAATTGAGTTTAAATTCACCATTTCTAATTTTGGCGATTCTGTGAACAAAGTTCTTGACGAGAAAAAAATCTAGTACCCGATTGCAATATCCTTGCTTGTCTCAAAAGTAACTATCGCAATGTTAAATATCATTAAATAATGTCCATTTTGAAAACTTCAACAAAATGAGCAAAAATATTAGGATGGCGGCCACATTTGCAACAGCTAGGAGTCATATCTACAAAAATGAAATGCGTTGAGCAGTCATATTTGTAGTCAGTACATTAACTTCCTGGTAGTACTCTGAAAGCATTCCACCATATTGTTGAGAAATTCAAACTTGCAAACCTTTTTAGGTTAAGTTTTATGAAAACTAAGACGATTTGAGCAGTCAAACTTGGAGGATAGAGCTTCAACTTCTGAAATTACCTTGAGATCACCCCCATAAGAGGGTTGAAAAAAAGAATTGGTTCAAAATTTTTCAAATTAAGTTTTTTTTCAAAAATTTTAGAAAAAGTATTGAAAAAACATCGTGTTTGGTAAACTAAAATTATTTCAGCAGTCATATTCGGAGGAATGACTTACAATCTCAATGACTTCCCTGGCAGCAACCAGCTGTAGGGTTTTGAAACTCAGATTAAGTAAAAAAAATTATATTTCAGTTTTGAAAACTTTTGGACAAATCGTAAAAAAAAAACGTCATATCTCAAAAACTAAAGGCATTGGAGCAGTCACATTTGGAGGCAAACATTGCAGACCCTGCCCCCAGCTAAAGGGTTGCAATTTCGAATTTTATGAAATTAAGTAAAACTAAATTTTCTGAAAAGTTTTGAGAAAATTTTATAAAAAACGTCGCATCTCGGAAAATTAAAGCATTTGAGCAACCGTTCTTGATGGCAAGAGTCAAAAGCTGAAAGTACCCTGAGAGAGATTCACTATAGAGATGGGAACTTTTGTGAAATTTTATATCTAAATTCTTTAAAAAATTTTAAACTGACATGTGTCCCATCTCAGATACTAGTATTTGAGCAGTCGCATTTGGACGCAAGTTTTGCAAACCCTGAAAAAACCCTCAAGAGTACCCAATTACAGGGTTGGGAACTTCAATATTTTTTTAATATTAGTTTTCTTAAAACTCGAAAAAATATATCATAAAACACGCCATATCTCGAAAACTACCTAGATTTCAGCAGTCATATTTGGAA